AGGTACTTAAAATATTACATTAAACATTCTGGTCATTGTATGTCAAAGAAATAGTAGAAGCTAAGATGCAGAAAATAAAGAAAAGCAAGATATCAACTCCCTTGACGTTGAAATCGCATTAAGAGTATGTTGATAATAAGCTGGTTTGACTTTATGAGCTGATTACTAGTTTGGTATTGAAGCAATCATTATAAAATTTAAAAGTTATATAGCATAGGTTCTGATGACTGGGAAATTAGGCCAAATACAATTCAGTGGAATGACTCGAGCATAAGTAGTTGGTCCCTTAAAGAATAAAAATAGTAAAACAAAAGTGAAGGCTATGATAGAACTTGATTCAAGCTGTATTTAAGAAAATGACTACAAGTAGATTCCAGTGGTGAACCTTGACTGATATCACAATGCAAGGCTGCTCAATGATGTTAAAATGAGTTATATAAACAAAGATAGCGCGCTGATGAGACTAGAGCAGAAATCAATCGTGAATGTAACGCAGAGTGGTCAAAAAAACTATCATACATATCTAAAGAACTATTCTACTTTAAAGTAAGGCTCATTGCGGGCAAAATCGCACCCTTGTTATACATATGCTTTATTCAGGTCGTTTCTAATAACACTTACATCGAAAGAAAAGGCTGGGGCGGTTAAAATGTAAGGAAGCCTAGTCCAATAACTTCACATGCGTTACCAGAGTTTAAGATAGTCTTACTTTCTAATGCAAGCAAGTTGTAGGCCTAATCACTTTCAAACAGGAAATATTATATAAAAATGACGGAAATCAACTGCATAAGATAAAGGAGGAAGGTGGCGCCTAACGCGAACTCCCGAACCTTTTTCAGATATGCACGTAATCAAATAGAACAAAACTTTAACCTGGAAAAGCTTAATAAATAAGAATAGTAATAAGTGCCACAATCGCAAACGTTTTGTGCATAACGATGCATAAATATTATAAGACTTTGTTGTAGTCAAGCTTTTCACTCCAGAAATATTCAGCTGAAAGGTATCTGTGCAAAAAAATGAATTCAATAAAATATAATGATATTCTAGGAATTTTTAATGCTGACCAAATAATTAAGAAGACTATGATAGGGATATTGATGAGGATGGCTCATATTAATTTCCAGTTACACTGACCTACAAAACCGGATCTCATAACGGCCTCATCCAGAGTCTCACTTTGTCTACCAGTCATTTTAAGCCTAGTATTTGCAAGGCCTGGCAATGTTCTGTCCGGTGCATTTGCTGGAGTTTTCCCTGGAGAGCTCGCTCCAGGTGAGATAGATTGGTCAAGACTGCTGGCCGGCCAAAGGATCGGAGCAAGTGGTCGGAAAGCTTGTACCAGGTCAGCACCAACCAGTACATCTTGTTGTTCTGGATCACCAAGTGACCAATCAAGCTCGACTGAAACGGGCCGCACACCATCAACAGTGAGCTCAGAACGCCAGGTTTCCTCAGAACTGATTGGTAAGCCTGATAGATATATAGGAAAATACAAATATAATAAAGAATGAAGATTTTGATCCGAAAGCTTACTGAAATATCACAAAAGGCGACATCAAGTGTAATGACTAAAACCGACTGTAAAGCATCTACTAGAATATTTACCAATAATTGAAAGTGCTGTTGGCCCCTAGTCTAATAATTATTTTAGGCTTTTTAGCGTAGGCAGTAAATATAATACTCCCTGTCGATTCTTAAGTGTTTAAGTAGCACTCTTCTAGGGAGAATGCGTTCAAAAGTTTCGCTGGAGAATTTTAAGACAGATTGGAATTCTAAAAACAAAAAAATGGGGTGTATATAATACCTCAAAATCACCATAGCGTCAGTTAGGTTGACACAAAATGTTGTAGCAAAATCATTAGTTTGAATTTTTGGTAAGCAAGCTCGGAAAAGGTTTAGGAAGTCATGGGCGTTAGCTAAAGTAAATAGTCTAAAAGTGGAAGATATATGTAGATAGAATAAGCAATCAGCGAAATTAGACCAGAATGTTGAAAACTGATACTAAAGAAAGTTACTAAAGAATAAGCCTAAAAAATGGCAATGGTGTTATTTTGTAGCATGTTATTAATATTAGCGTTGTTATTCGTTTTATCATAAAGATGATTACTAAGGAGTAGTACTAAGAAAAAGGGCCATTTTGTGCTGTTATGAGTATTATCGTTATTATTAGTTTTAGCACCCTAATTAAGTGTTAATATAGAAAGAATGCAAAGTTACCATGCCCAAATCGAGGGCTGTTCCACTAAAGCATTTAGAGTGACGGATTAGAAAGGATAAGGGAGAGGGAAAAGCCATGTGAATTAAGGAGAAACGTAATAAGGAGATGATTATGTGTGCCAAGATGGGAATTTAATGCGTTAACATCTGGCGAACACAAGCAGATCTTATAAATATAGAAAGGGCAAATCGGCCCATGCAAAGCGCACTTTAATGTTCTGATTATCAAAGTTATTTAAGGAGCTTTAAGATAATATATTTGCAATAAAAATAACTCTGATTTAGGCTTTGATGCCAGCATAATTCAATTGCCGATCCAAACATACCAATAGCTATGTTGGGACTGGATATATATCTAAAATATCTTCATCGGCCAATAGTCAATGGCCCAAAGCAAATAAATTACAATTATTTTCCTTTAACCACACCAAACAAAGTATATTAATTGAAGGCTAAGTGGATATGATAAGGATTTATAACTCTTGAATTTGCGTATGGCTAAGTAATAAACCACGAAGTAGATAAAGAAAATGGTGAAAGATTCCCACAAATAAGCACGATCGCCAAATTGTTTATCTTTCAAAGCGATGGTGGAAGAATAGGAAAGATGGAGTTAGAACCCATGATAACCTCAGAAGTGAGGGCATTACTAGAATTTGGCTTTAATTTTGGAAGCGTGCTACCAAAAGATATTGTTGTATTTGCAAAAATAAAATGGAAAAAATGCAGAGTCGAGTGTTTAGAAAGAGTCTTTTACTGAAACCCTCATAAAAATATAAATATCTGGGAGATATGGCGAGCCAATATATCCAGTTAGAAACAAAGGCAAAAAATAACAAGTGAACAAATGTT